TATATATATATATATGTAAATAAATTGATAGAGGTAGTATAGAAATTTAGAGGGCTTAGAAGACATGGAAGTTAAAAGAATAAATGTCTTACCGGCTTTTTATTTGTATCCGCTTCAGTAGCAGTAGTAGTAGCAGAAGGTATTGGTGACCAAGGATCTGTACTAGGCGAAGTTGTAACTGTTACAGGTGATGATGGAGGTGCCCGCCAGGAATCAACTGTAGCAGCTAAAATCAAATTAATTATGAAATGATCATAAATTACATTCATACGATTTAGTAAACATTAAAATCCTTTTTCAATAAACTATACTTGGTTTTTGCGATGGAATGGGAGCCCATGGATCTATCGCAGGTGATGTACTGCTTGTTGTAGGAACGCTCCACGGATCGTTTTGTGGCTATATAAAAAAAGGAACACGTAAATTTTTTATGTAACTTTCAATAAACTTTCAATACGATTATGCTATGATTTATCAATACAATGTTTGTTGTGTTAGTCGAACATACCTTATATGGATAGAATTGAGATATATCCAAAGACTGTTGTGTAACATGCAAAAGGTATGCAATGTCGTGTTTATCATGCAATAAGCAAATGTATAAACTTAACTAAATATAGAATAACATACTTGAGGTCTTGGCGGAGGTGGTGTAATTGGTATACCCCAAGGGTCGGTTTTTACATTGTATCCACATGCTTCTTCTAAGTTTACATCCAACAAATCTAGCATATGACTTTGTTTCTCAGTTTGCGGCGCTCTGAAATTAATGTATTTCTTTAGGCAAAACCAAAATGGACTCTGTAATAACTGAAAAAAAGTTAAATCTAATTTAATGTCTACTAACTTAAAATCTTGCTGACTTTGACTAAGAGCTAATTGCAATCTGACGTCATCACTACGTCTTCTTTGTTCTTCTTGCTCTGCTTCCTCTCTCGACATTGCCAAAGCTAATTGTAACTGTAATTCTTCTTCACCTACCGTTTGTGGTCTTGCAGCTTCTAATTCAGCTAAAAAGTGCGCAAATTATAATTAATTATATTATTAAGTTACATATCTGTAAAAATACATATTAGCAGAAAAGAATATAAGCGTATAATAAATATTTACTCTTACGTCTAGTTGTAGTTTCAGATCCCAGGCGACATGGCTCCCAATCCTGAAACTGAACATGAAAAAAGAAAAAGAAGGAAATGTTTATTTAAAGAATTTTTGGCATTATTAAACTTTTCTATCTTCATATCAATGTATACTTACATCGCTGCTTACAGGTGACATAGTATCTAAACCATCACTACCAAATCCACTAACTGATTGTGCAAATCTTTCTTTTGCTTTCAATGCTCTAGCTCTTTCATTTCTTAATCTTTCATCATCTTTTAATAAGGCCACTAGTTGTTTTGCTTTTTCTCTTACATTCACTCCTTGATCCTTAGATCCTTCCATGTATTGGAAATCTGAATAAAGACAACTTAACTTTACGGACTATCAATTTGTATTAGTATTTTATATTAGATTTCATATTATAAAGCACAAAATTATATACCTTTCAATGTTTGGATGGCAAAAATATTTTCTTTACATTGCTGTGCAACTTTTTCTGTGCCTGTTTTAATAAGATATTCTAAAAGAACTAAAGCTTTGTACACATGTCGCCAATTTTTACCATGATCATTTAATCTTTTCCATAACATTTGCATAATCTCAGTAAAAGCCACAACATTATATGTTAAATCTGCAATTTCTGCCATAAGAGTACTACTTGGACCCCAAGGATCGTTACTGGTGGCTTTACGTACAGCTTTCTGCATACATAAAAAAATTTTGTTCTTTAATATGTAAAATAGTGTGTTTGTAATATGTAAAATGTTATTTATTTACCTGAGCATTGCTATAGTTATGGGCAAGATTAACAATATCTCGCCTGATACCTGCCAAATTCACCTGCATGACGTCTTGACCTTGTCTTCTCATCTAAAAGATTACCACTTTATATTATAAGCAGGTAGTAATATTCCTATATCTTCTAGAAGCCCATACTTATCATCATATATATACACATTTATGTCAGTTACATTTAATATATGCTAATAATTCCCAATGCAACTGAAATATAAGTTTAGTCATATCTATTTAAAAAAATTATTTTAGACAAAAACTGGTAATAAATATGGGCGATCACTTAATATCAAAGCCATGCGACTAAATATGCATTAGTAAGAAAATAGGAAACTTATTGTAAAGTTCTTACATTACTCTACTTTTACCAAATCAACATTTCTACTTTCTATTTGGTTAGTAGTAAGATGGATGAAAGTAACTAAAGTAAAAGTGTGATTAATACAAAAGTAAAGAAATCCTCTTCAGTGTTGTTCTTTTATCTTAGATATGGCATTACTGTGTAATTTAAAAATTATATACCAAACAAAATGCTATAAAATAATGCAACACAACAAACTGTTAGTCTTATATATATAAAGCTCTAAAGTAAATTAATTTCATTTGAGATGTGCCTATATAAATGTGTACTCAAGATAAACAATTTTTAACTAAATCAGTACATTTTATATTGTATATTTGTGTACATTGATTGTAATTTGTATTATCATAATAATTCTTTTTAAAAGAAAAGTTTTACCACAGCCAGTCAAGCTTCCTTATAAGAAACATTTAAAAATTATTTTCATAATAAACATAACATTAATGATTTTTTTTAAATAATTTGATGCAATACTGACTTGCATAATGTGCAGAACTTATCATCATTACATAATTTTGCAAAAAATAAAACATGAATGATTTCAAGTATGTGCTGTAATTGTATTACTAAATACTATAATCCTTGTATATTTTTACATATACAGGATGTTATATCTTATTACAATTATTTCAAAAATTTCTACATCATAGAAACATGTTAAAGGGTTTTTTAAATAATCAGATTGTAAGTCCTAAAATGTTCATCATTTTTAAATTTTTATCAACACCCTGTATATCACTTATTAATGTAGTTTGCAAAACATTGATCTACTTTATTTGTTCTTTAAACATTTTCTAACAATATAATTGATTAGTAAAGTATTAACAGTTGTTATTTTGTTAACTGTGGCCAGTTAATAAAATTTACCTTCTGCATAGCCATTGTTGGCATATGAAATATGGCTGGGGTCGTTGATGAAGCTAGTTCTTGTCCACAAATATAGAAAACTCCCAAACACTTTTCGAATCACAATAAAATCCTAGACTATTAGATAGTTTAATAAATAAATAAGAAACATTTGTTACATTTACCTGTCAATGATGAATAAATTCTTATTTAATATGACACATAATTAAATGATAATACAATTAACTGAGAGCATTTTGAGTGGGACTTTAATAACATTACTAATTATTATGCAAATAAATATTGCACAGAATACTGCATTCTTTATTTTTCTAATGCAATATATATTATAAGTATATGAAGCTAAATAAAATACATGTATAGTTATTTGATACACAATACTATTAACTATAAGTTATACTATAAATTTTGTACTGTACATAAAAGAATAGCATATGTAAGAACTGCTTATGAACTAAATAGGCACAACTCATGTTGATCAGTATATAAAATTCATCTTCTTTTAGCTGTAAATGTTTTTTAAGTACTATACAAGGGCATATAGCTGAAGTGTTATAGAAATATTTAATTAAAAATAATAACATTTTAGCCTATACGTATTTAACATTGCTATCACTATAATAATGTAAAAATTGAACAATATAATAATAAGATAGACTTAAAGAAAATTTTGTTTAGTTAAAGAAGAAAATGTCACTATCTGTAAAATACTATACCATATATTAACAAATTTAATTTCATATAAAACAGTTTTGTAAAAAAAAAAAAAAAATACAAGATTAAAAACTTATAAACTTACGTAATTCTTTTACAGACAAATGCAGTTATGAAAAAAAACTGAATTAAAAAATTAAATAAAACTTACAAATCTGCATAGTCTGTACTTTATATTTAAGACTGTCACAGGCTTTTGAATATAAGCCATGCCCTTTTAATAAAGCATTCTGACAATAGATCAGAGTTGCAGTTTTTGTGCAATATTGATATTAAATTATTTTGAAAATATAAAATATTTGATTACATATACATATAATGATTCAAACTACTTTCTTTTTTTTTAATAGTAATACCTCTTGCAAGCATTTTATTAAAGGAAATCAAAATAGAAATCAAAGAAGAAGAATTTCTTATATTGGAAGAAAAAAGAACTTGACCCAAACTACTGTTTTGAAAAATAATAGGCTACATGCAACAGTGAAGAAGAATAAAATTACTTACGTTGATATAGTGGAGGATTCAAATTCTCCTTTAAAAAAGCCGTGTTATTAAACTGAAAAATGAGAAAATATCTTTATCTTTCTATTATGCATCTTATCTTATCACTACATACATAGAATAAATTTTCTACAAAGGAGATGATAATACATTTATTTAACAAATTCTGTATGATTACATCAGACATAGAATTAATTTTGTTCAATACAGGTATTTAAAAAAGACAAATGATTAATAAAATGATATACATGAATAAAGCTATATACTGTGTGTACCTAAGATTATCATCGTATGGTTTCTTTAAGACAGTTAAAACATATTATATCTATTAATGACCATGAAACTATTGATTTCTATTTTCTTTATATCATAATTTCTAATTTTCAACAAATTTAGATAAATAATAATATATATTTTAGTAAAAATTAAAATACGAAAATAAAGATAATATAATAATATTATATTTAAAATATTATTGATATTTGCAATGACTATACTTTTACAAATATTAACTTTAGATATTTAGTATGATAGCTCGATACTTCGTTTTGCCTATTGAAGTCTGAACAAATTATTTCTTTGTCTCACAAAAAAGCTCATTACTGCATTCTTCCTTATATGATTTGAAAGCTTAAATCGACCGAGACATCGACACACATATGTACATTAAAATGACAATCATACGCTACACAAATATCAGATAATGATTTCTTCGGATAGATTTAAAAGAACAATGTCGTGAAACGTGTATACTATGGGCTATCTTTCAGATATAACTAACACAATAGATATACGTACACTGGCTTAGGTGCAAGACTAATCCATGAAAATGCGTGATATGTCAATTTCGAAACTATCTATGCTTTCTCATGCTCGGGCGTGACTTTGTAATACTGCACTTTTTCCGATCCGTTTCATATACAGGTTAACATAGAATGAAATAGAGGGAACGAATTAACGAAAGAAAACACATTACGATTAGAAGATATCTAAGAACACTATTATGCTGTCGAAACGGAATCAAACTTATACTCTTTTATTCTACGGGCTATACCACTTGTACTAACACATTAATGACAATATGTTTCTGTAAATTTATTTGCAACTCTCTATAGAACTTTGTACTTACCGTAATATATACTGGAAATTTAATGCACTAATTTCAACGGAAATAAGAAACAAAATAACATAAAACTCTTATGACAAGTCCATTCACAGGCACTGACGAATTAGAAGTTACGAGGCAAGATGGCGCTGAAAAATATTTCCTTCTTTACAGTTTCGCACTCTGTGGTAATTTTAGAGAAGATTTAACATTCGATTTGTTTCATGAAACTAAATGTATTTCGATTTGTTTGTCAATAAGTGCATACCTGTATTACAAGAAATGTAATAACAATCCACGTACTACGTGATTTTTATTGAAATAAGAAATTTGTCAATGAAGAGTTGTCTCTCTTTATATAACTCTAAGGACAATTTTCATAACGCGATTTTCTATGCATAGCTATATCAAATGAAAACGTAGCCAGCGTTTAACAATTGAAAACGTTGAAGAAGGTGTAGTAAGTACGAAAACAGAACGTACTTAATGAATAAATCTATGATGTATGCGCATACCATCATATGCGACCCCTTCAAGTTTCAATTGTTGATTGAAATTTCTGTTTTCAAACTGAATATATTTCGTCGATATTACTGTCCTATAACAATTAGGGACAAAACAAGAAGTGAATAAAATCTTGTTACTCTTATGTGATTTTGTTATCGTCACGTTGATTAAAATATATCTAAATGAAGTATATGAAGAAGTAAACGTCAGCATTCGAACATAACCTTAGTTTTTGTTATTTAAGTGGAATTGGTACTACTATTCTAATAATTATTTTCTTTTGAGAATTATTTGTTATAAGTACACCATTCCAAAATGAATATACGATTATTAAAAGATCCTGCTACTGTAAGTAGTCGTATATTTGTGGGTCATTTACAAACTGATGATATGACTAAAGTTGAGTTGGAAGAACATTTTTCAAAATATGGGACAGTTGTTGGTTCTTCGATAAACCGAGGTTTTGGCTTTGTTCAATTTGAAGAAGAACAATCTGCTCAAAAAGCTATTCAAAATGAAGATGGAGCAATGTTCAAAGGAAGAAGAATAGGTATTTTCACGAATGATTCTTATTTTGTTTGTTTCCTATTATTCCTATTATTTTATTTTTGTATTTAATAATGCAATTGTCCACTTATTTTTTTGTTGCTATTCTTATAATAATATATATTAACATATTTCATTAAATATTTCTTTAAATAGATGTTAGACCAGCGAAAAAGGATAATCAATCCGGTGGAGGTGGTGGAGGTGGAGGAAAACAATTAGGAGGACCTAATAATCAATTTAATTCTACCAGTACTCATTTTAATGCTGGAAATGATCCTTTTAATAGTGGAAATCAGAATTATGGAGGAAATTCAAATTTCAATGCTAACCAAAATTTTGGTTGTGATTCACAATTAAGCGATAATCAGAAAGTAAATAATATGCAAATTCGAAGTGTTGGAAATGATCCATTTGGGGATGGAAATCAGAATAGAGATAATATAAATGATCAATTTGGAAATCAAAATAGAAACAATGGAAGTGATCAATTTAACAATATAATGCAAAATAAAGGGAACAGTAATTTTAATCCAAATAATCAGAACAGAAGTGGTAATGACCAATTTAATCAAAACAGAGGTAGTAATCAATTTGGGTTAGGTGGAAACCAAAATAGGCCTGGTGGAAACCAAAACCGAAATGCAAATAATCAGAATCAAAGTGGTGGTGCAGGTGGCATGAATAGCGGTGGGAGTGGTCGACCAAGAGGTAGTAGAGGTGGAAAAAATCGAAATAAAAATAGAGATAATTCAGGTGGAAATAACTTTAGAGATCGCAGTCCTATTAATAGAGGTAATCGTTTAGATGATAAAGGTGGTAGAGATTGGGAACATAAACAAGGGGATAGATTAAGAGGGAACAATTTTGGCAGAGATTCATTCAATGATAGTAATAACCGTTATGAAGATTTTAAAAATTCTGCTCCTAGAGATATGAATATAAGTTTTAAGTAAGTTAAGAATATTTTTATGTTTCCTTCTTGTACAATAATTGTTTATTAATATCAATAGTTTTGTTTAACAGTAGTACAAGTACATCAAATGAATACTCAAATGCAACAACTGAGAAAAATGACTGTGAAATTATTGTTGTTAACAAAGCATTAACGTAAGTATAAAAATAATTTAGTTTGCTTTATAATTGTTGAATGATTTTGTAATTACTTTTTATAAATAGGGAATATGCAGAAAGTATCGAAATGAGGTTGAAAAAAATTGGCTTGACAGTTGATTTGTTATTTCCAAATGAGGATGTACTTCTAAGCAGAGTTTTAGGAAATATTGCCAGTCGGGGATGTTTATATGCAGTCGTAGTTACACCAATAAATCAAGAACATCATTCCCTAACTTTAAACATTCTTCATGGTTTACCCCAGGGTAGGTTTCTTAATAATTTTATTAAAATGTCTAACTCATTGTGTTAATAAAATCTTATTTTTCTGTACAGAACATAGAAATATGCTTGTTGAAGATGCTATTAATCTAATATCACGAGATTTTGTTAATTACAAAGCTGGTGGACGATCGGTTCCATTGAATACACCTTTTGCAAACGAACGGCATCCTGATGCTATTCAGGTTCTTTTAAACATGCTGGCTGATAATCATCAGTTAACAGTATTGCAGTATGATCGTGTTATAAAATATCTCGAAATTAAACGTGAAGAACAAGTACAAGTTGAATTGGGAGATGTAAAAGATTTACCAGCTACGACGACGATAACAGTCAGTGACCCGAAACAAGCAGAATTACAATCTAGGATACTTAATATCCTAAACAGTAATAAAACAACTTCATCTGCACCAACACCTAGTCCAGTACCAGCGCCTACCACAACACCAGTGCCCGTTCCGCCAGCTACTTGGGGAACAGGTAAAATTTGTATAATTTTACTATTTAAGCTTAAACAAAATGTAAATACTGTCTTATTATTTTATATCAAATTTCTGTTATTATAACATTACTCATTAACAGAACATACATTTTAAAAGTATAATGGATTTTGAGTTTATAAAGTTAGTTATCAATTTTCATTCCAGTGATTTTCTGAAGTAATTAATTTATTAACAAAAATTCCTTTGGTAAGGTATTGAAAAGATACGCATACTATAAGTGCAATAATATTGTGTTTTACTGCAATATGTACTTCTATTTGTTACAAAAATACTGCTACCGATTTATTCGTTACATAAAAACAGCAGTATTATAAATAGAAACCATATCGCGTTTTTAACCTGAAGAAACAGACCTATTGCAACTTTTTGCATTTTTAAAAAGGTCGTTATGGGTGTATCTTACGGATTTTAGATCACCTATTTCTTATTTTCTTTTCTGGATTTGTTTGTGTATCTTTCATGAACATATCCAAAGAAAACGTTTAAAATTTAAATCGTGTATATAAATTCTTAATGATGGCGTTTGAAAACTATTCAATGTTGACAAAAAAACGTAAAGTTTGTCTAAGAAATTTTTAGACAAATAATTGCAGGTAAAATTTTAATATAAATATTGAGCACGAGTGATCAAAAAACACAAACGAACTTCGTACGCTTTGGGTTTCTGATCAAGTTCTTCGTGCGTGTAGTGCTACTGTGCCGCTTACCATACAATCCAGTGATCAAAGCGAACGAACTTCGAATATATATATTGCTGGTATTACAACTGCTAACTTCATGAGTACATCATATTATGCCAGCAGCATCAACTGCGTCAACAGCATCCACAACTACTACTACTACTACGGGAGTTTCACCGTCACCTCTGCTAAACGATCCGACAGTTCAAAAGGCACTTGACAGTCTGTTGCAAGGCAATTTACTCAAAAGCATCGGCGATCAGCAACCAGCTACAACTTCAACACCTCTGTTTGCTGCTTTTTCGAATATCGGCCGATTTTAATTTATTTCAATTTTATTTATCATATAATAAATAATTGGGGGTTTGGATCTCCTTTATTTTTCTGACATTCATACTCTTTCTGATGGATAGTCACACTTGTTTTAATAACACGAAAGTTTTATGACAGCATTTGATAAAAAATTAGAATACTAACAGGATTACATTCAGGATAATTGTGATATTTGCCTCTGAAAAAATGTTAGCCTGCTTTTATATGTATTAAAAAAAGTATATTTTAAATATAGAATTCATAATGCTTTGTAAATTCTATAGATGTTATCTGCATAGTTCACAAATACTTGTTTGTATAATGGTTCAGTCTTTCTACTTTTAGAAAAAAAATATTTTAGTTTACCATACTTCACATGGAGTAAATGATGGAGAAACTAAATATTAAAGAAATTTAATTTTATTTTCTCTCGTGGTAATTATGTTTTCTATTACTATACAACTAGGCTTTGAATATACTTTGAATATATTAACAGGTTTAAGATATAATCAAATATTATATTTTATTGATAATTAAATAGTTTCTTATGATATAGACTATTTCAATATGTAATGTACTGAAGTAGTAATCAACAATTTAACTAGACAATTTATTATCCTTAACTTAATATATAGAATTTATTACATTGTAATTTTAATGAATTGCCATGATTATTTCTATTACTTCTACAGTTTTTAATAATGTAAAGTATTCTTTATATGTGAACATAAAGCATTTGATTTTTATAATGGATTATGTAAGATACACAATATATCAATTTTTCTATTGCGTTATTAGAAATACAGATATTGTGATGAAGATTGTTTAATTTTTACTCATTCATCAATTTCATTATCTCTGTTATATTTTTTCCTTCATATTTATGTTATTACACACATTTCTATTAGTTTGAATATTTAGACAAATGTATTGTGTATAAGAAGCACATTTTCTTAGGAACTAGATAAATATCATGTATAACTTCAATAAAATGTTTTTAGGAATATTTCATGTCTTTCATTAATAATGTAGTATGCTGTTGATGCCTCTCTTATGGGTCTAAAAACAAGAAAATATATTTATGAAATTGAATTCCAGTTTTAAGTGTCTAATACATTACATTTTTACATACCCTTGCAGCCCCAAGCAATTAATAAGTAATTATTATAAAGCAGTTTAAGCCATGGATTTACAAGCAGCCTTATTAGATATATAAGCAAGAAATGAGTGTACAAAGTGAAGTATTTAAATAAAGGTGGTTCGCAGGATATAAAGCATGGAATTAAGAACTCACAAGTAAGTGAAGCTACAAATATAAACCAGTATAAGCAAGTTCACTGTCTATTTACTTAAATTTACCTAAGTAATAACTCTTCAGGTATTGTTCCGCGTGTACGATTTCTTCACACGGCTGGGATACGTTCTTATATAATATATCAAGGACTGACTTTACTGCATCAATATCATACATATTTTTTACCAATCTTTGCTTATAAGGTTTTAATCTTTCTACAAGCTCTTTATTTTTTTTAATAGAACCAATGTGTTTTTGCAAAATTTCATCGTAAATTGGCCAGTCAAATGCACACGCGATACAATCGCATTCAAAGAAATAGTCTTGTATTATTTTTTTTCTTCTTTCAGATTTTGTCATATATGCATATGCAGCACCATAATTTGTGAATATTTGATCTCCAGGATATATTGGTCTTAGAGCGCGAGTAATCATTGTTAGCTCTTCAAAATGACGAAATGTATTTGGTGCGCAAGAATGGTTGTATAAACTATGTGTTATATATAATCCTGAACCTGTTTTAATTCCTGGTTCTTGTTGCACCTAAAAATAAATTAATTATAATATAAAAGTACTTTAAAATAATTTCCATATATATATATATATATATATTATCTTCTAAATAAATTACTGAAAAACAATTTGAAGACATTATAACACAAGCGCGAAACATAAGGCTTCCAGAGAATATGATCTTTGGATAATTGCTAATATCTTTTAATTGGTTCACTTCATATTTATTGCAGAAGAAATTGGTCTGAGTGGCTAGGAGGATAGCTGCAAGAGCTGAGATGCAAGCAAAAGCACTGATTCCAATAAGTGGTCGCGTTGTCATATTGGTAGCGAGACTCAAAGCAGATCGTGCGCTGGTACTGTCCAATATGCCTTCATCTGTAAATCCTGCAGATCTGTTATCTACAAAAGAAAAATATTTCATAAAATCTAGAAATGAACAGTATGTTATGGTTGAATTCTTGTTTTCTCTCTTACAATTATTTTATTGTCTTATAACTCAAGTTTTGTCTCACATTATTTTATTTTAGCTATAAAATATGAATGTTCTTCTTTACCTGGATTAGATTCAGCTAGTTCCATGTCCACTCGCAGTTCATCAAATTTCTTGCCCTTTGATGTTATTACAATGAGAAATCTAATAATTTTGGTAAGCATTCGTATCTTATCTTTATCAACATTAAGTAAGTTTCCTACTAATGCCATAATTGGACATTCTATTTGATGAGCCATTTCCCAAGCTAATTTTCTACACTTTTCTGAACAGTATTGAGCCACAGGGCAGTGTGAACAAGGAATTAAATTATAGCTTCTTGATAAACAGTGATGACAATGTGTATAATACCTGTAACTTATATAAGTTATATATTATAGTAGATATATTAATATAAATAGATTTACCTTTGTGTATAAATAACATAAGCATATGGATTTTCAATAGTAACTACATCTCCTGGTTTAAATTCTTTTGTAGCTACTAAGTGACGTCCATATTTTTCAGAAAAAGAAATGCTGATACCATCACTAGCAGCAGGAGCCTCTTTACTTGGACCATAAGCTAACTTTAAAGGACCTTCATCAGCTAAGTATCTTAGTTGTTTTTCCTTATCATTATCTTTGGATATTCCATTAGAATCATTGATTAAATCTTTCTTTTCATTGATGCTAAAATTTTTACTCATATCTTCTGAAAGTTTAACCTTTCCATTTCTATATCTTACACCTCCAGGTTCCTCATTTATTTTTTCTGATAAACACATATTCTTAAGTGTTTCTATATCAATATGATCATCCTTTGTAAGTTGTAATCTTTTCTTAATTTCTTCGATAGCCTTGGCTCCCCTTTCTTTCAGATTTTTCCTTTTTTCTTCTGGATATCCAAGACTTAAAGCAGCATCAATATCTATCAAACATTCTTTGAACATTTGTTTTCTATATAAAGCAGCAGACCGATTGGCATAAGCATATGACATAAGTTCATTATCATTTGCATATGCTAAACTCATTGTATAATATTTTATAGCTTCATTATCATCACCCATTACAAAATGTTGGTTTCCTAAGATTTTTCAAGTATAATAACTAAACAAATTACTTATATTTATTTATAATACATTGATAATATTTACTACCTTCTTCTCTATAGTGGATAGAATCTTCCTCATTTTTTACTTCAGGAATTAATTCTGGAAATTGAGACTTTACCATGTTTTGTAAAATATGACCAATAAGAGATTCACATTCTTTTTGTAAACCATACCCTGCATGTGATACATTAGTTTGTTTCAAATTTAATACTAATTCCTTTGCTATATCCATATTGCTCTGGAAAAATCTTGTTACATAAAAAATATATATTATAACACATATAAGTATTTTACAAATTAATTAAAATTATACATAGATAAAAAATAAATTTATTATATAAATTTTTTATGTAAATGTATATCATATGTTTCATAAAAAAGAAGAATAAAGAGAAACCTGATTGTTCATATATTACTTGTACACTAGATAAAAAGGTACTGAATGGACTGTAGTGTTAACTATGTACTGGTTGAAGCAAAACTGAGAGGTGAAACTAAAATTACCTCAAGTGAGTTGATAGAGGGAAGCAGAAACTGCATGACTATGTAACCAAGTTTTAAATCATTTGTTAAATTAGACAGATTAGAGATTACTTATATAAAAGTTATAAAGATGCCTAAACCTTTATATTTCATACATAGAATATTTAAATATTCTCTTCATTTTTATCTGTAAAAAGAATTTAAAAATTTGAAACAACTGAATTTTTTAAGTAAGCTAATATGTTATATATTTTGTAATATACATTTCAATTTTTTTATTTCATCATCCTTGGCTGGTATTTTTTAAGTTAATGTCGTTACATTTACATTTATTAAGTACAATTTGCAAAAATAGTTACGTTTAACATAATTAAAATATTACATATTAACAAGAAAAAACGCAAAAAATCTAAAGTTTACAGTTATTTAAACAATATAGGTGTTAGAAATCGTTTTTTTTTTCAGTCATATTGCATGAGCATTTTATAATGAGAACAATTTGGCATCAATCCAGATATGAAGCTGCTAGAGCGTTGAAGTTTAAATACAGTCTTTAATTAGATATACATATATATATACATGAGATATACATGATTATAGTTTATTTATATAAACTAATATTTATATAAACAATAGTTAATGTTTAATATATCTAATAAAATATAATATTTGGACACTATGGCAATGAATTTAATATCATCAGAAAGGTAAAAACAACTTTAAGAAATATTACATGAAAGAATTATGATTAATTTATTAGGAGCTTATCACATAACAACAATTAATCAACATGTATGACATGAAAAATGCATAAATTTATAACATAATATATATTATATTCATTAGAAGACATGAGACCATAATAGTATAAAAAGTTTATTTCACATTATAAAAAAATTATATGGATATTTGACTAGATTAATCCTCCTCTGCTTCTAAATTTATACGGCTACCAAATTTTGCATATAGTTGTGTTTTTAACTCGGTTATAATATTCTTCAAATCGACACATTTACTTTCCAAATTAAAGATTTCCTTTTTCTTCTTTTCTTTAATCTCATCTAAGTAATTCTAAAATCATGAACAACAGGAAGAATATTAAATATTTTATCATTTTGTATGAAAATAATAGCAATACTTGTCTTCAAGAACACTAAGTGTGCTATTGAGAATTATGTACCTGTGTTTTTTCTAAGTCTTCATAAATAAAAACTTCACCAATGTAATATGGAATTTTTGCATCTTCATCCAAAAGAACTATTTCATCACAAGCATCTTCTAAGTTCTTTAATTCATTCTATAAAAGACAGTACAGTATATATAAAATTATACATGTCCAAATAAGGTTACAAGAGGTATGAGGTAAGGAGTAGCGGTAGATTAGTTAATACCTGTTTAATTTTTAATTCTTCCTTTAAGTCATCCATTTTAGCATTCTGCCTTGCAAATTTATTAATTTTTTGTTGATCTTCGTACGTAATATAAACATCAGAGTCCTATAACGCAAAATAGGTTAGACTTATGTTTGTAAAATAAAATGTAAGTGATTCTTAGGTACCGGTTGGAATCCAGCTTGAACGTTTTTTCGTGCTGACATATTTGTTACTCGTATGCTATAACTGTTTAATTCGCCGTCTAATGGCAATCTAAATAACAATTTTGAAACAAGAATGTCTAGTAGTCACGACTCACAACATTATTTTATGAAGCTAATATCTTCAAAAGCGACTAATGGTTGTTGGAAATGCATCAATAAGTGTATTCTTCCTAAAGGCGCCTGTGCAATTTATCTAGCTAAGTAACATAGATACATACATCTTTTAACAAATTAAACTATTTTTTCTTAACTGCATACAAAATTAACTATTAAGATTACAGAAATCAATAATAATAAATATGACTAATTTAATTACATGCATTATTTTGTTAATAAATCTTCAAATGTTCTTTTGCATTAAATCTAATTTGCCATTTTTATATTTTCTGTTATTAATTTTATGTAACATACAATTTATTAATGAATGAAAAAAGTAAGTAGAATGAGTATATTATTGTTTAATGTATAAGAATATGTAAATATACACATACATGATAAAAAAAGGAAATACAAAGGTCCCACCGAGATTTGAACTCGGATCGCTGGATTCAGAGTCCAGAGTGCTAACCATTACACCATGGGACCTTATAAAATTTGTTTTGTTATAAACTATTCATATAGTTATGTAGAATAATTTTTTAACTTAAATTTAAAAATGTTTTTTTCTTTATAGTAATTTTCGCTGTGCACATTTGCATATGTACATGTACATTTAATCATGAAAAATGAAAACTTACGATTCAATGCATTTATTTATATCGATATTACATATTACATGTATGTATTTATAAATATATATTATGTATTATTTTTTGATTTATATAAGACATAAACTTATAACTTTTACAAAAAATTACTTACATTTTACAAACAATATAAAATATCACTAGTACATACAATGTAGCACTTCCTTTTTATTAGTAGGAATAAGATAATAATAGATTTATAAAGTAGTATTAACATTATTTACGTATTTAATTTTTTGATTCTTCGTTGTCATGAATTATTTCTGTTGTTAAATGTTTGTCTTCTGTTATATTTCTTTTATCAGGATTTGTCATTTTCTTTTCCTCGATGGAAGCATTTTCTTCCTTCTGTTTTATGGTATTTGTGGGTTCTTTGGTGTTACATATTTCTAGTAAATTATATTTTTTAAATTTATAGTAATTTGGAGCAATAGACATAAGACAAAAACCACGTATCATTTCAACAATTACAGCAAGTTCTGGGTTTTTCAAATCTGCTTTATTTCCAGGATTCTTTTTGTTTATTATTTCTGCTAAGTCTTCGATTACTTCATCTCTGTGTATATTATTGTTACTATGGCGACTATAATAAAATTAGATTGATATTTATATTAAAAGTTCAATAAAATTATAAGCAATTTGTAGATTAAAAGACCTACTTGAATACAATACTAAATGTTTTTGGTTCCTGTGCAAAATATTTTTCAAGCATTACATCTGCTTTAGATTTAATGTCATTCATATTTGCTTTACAGATAACTTCAATTGGAAGTAATCTTAATAAAAATCTTGTGCGTTGCTGTTTTGTGTTATCCAATTCACTAATAATTTTAGTAACTAATTCTAATGGATTTGTCAAAGTACTTTTTATAAAAATTACATTCTTCACACCAGTATCAACTACCTAATAAAAAAATTATAAATATCTAAAGTCTTTCGAAGACAAATATATCTGATAAATTCACCTGGAATCTTCTGGCATTTATTGTCTTTGAATATTCTGCTTTTAATTCATTAATTTGTTTGTTTAATGCAACTGAAATATCATCTTCGTTATCAATATTCTTTGTCTCATTCACAGAATCATCTTTCTCGGATTTTTCTTTGGAATTATCATTATCGAAGTCCTTGAATTTAAAAAAGTTTGACACTCTTATATTACTACATGTGTTTATATTATTGCTGAATTTCACTGTACCTTTGTGGTAACTGGTCCATAAATTTCATCAGCAAATTCATTAAGTAATTTATAAGCATCGCGTACACATTCTTTTTCAGAAAAATTGCATGTGCATAAGAAACCTTTTATACCTGGTTCCAAATTAAATTGTTTACGTCTTTTTTGGTTATAATTATGATTATGAAAGTAACTTTCTTTTCGCTTTTGGACGTACATCTTTGTTAGAAACTCCTGTATTATGGATTTTATTTTATTTATTTAGAAGATGAAAAGATTTCCTGAAAAATATATTTTTATTTTGTATAATAGATAATAAAAACAAGCACTATTTACTTGTGGTACTATTTACTAATATTTATTGTGGAGAGCTGTGCAAAACTAATAAATTAAATGTAAAATTTTTAGTATTAGATTCTATGTATATTAAATACTTACGCTTTTATGTAATAAAATATTTTTACATTAATTATTCAAAATATGAAACTAATTATACTTTTTAAATGATTTAGTTTATTCGTATGTTTGTAATTGCATATAAACATAACCAACTTATTCATATATCATTCGATCTAAGAGCCCTCTTACTGTACCTATATGTCATTTTCAATCATTTTCCAACACTAATTTCTATGTAATTTATATATAGTATGTATAAATATAATGGTAAAATAAATTTACAATAACATCAGTTATATATTACAATTTTTTATTTTTCTATATAGGTATTAATAATATGTACAATTGTAGAAATAAGTAAAAATATATAAAAAGTATATAAAAAAAACATAAAAATACGTATTATGCTAAAATGTGTGAAATATATTACTATATAGTTACTTAGTTGAGTTATAAATTTCGGCACCTTAACACCAAAATTATATAACAATAATATAACAATAACATAATAATAATAATAGAAAATATCACAATTTAAAGGTGTTACATTTTAACATTTCGGCGAACTATATTACAAAAATCTTCTTTGGGTTTATATCATAAACAATTTTTTGTTAAAAAGTTAAAAAAAAGTGAATTGATCGATTCTTTATTTGATGTGAATTAATTGAGTCTTTATGATCTTTTGTGTTTATATTGATTGTAATAATTCTTTCAAAGAAATTCTTATATCTCTATAATTTTCATTGTTTTTATAATATTTATATTAAAGAAGAATTAGATAATATAAAAGAAAGTTATTACTGTTTCTTTTATTTACATTTGCAGATTTTTGGATTGTTCTGTAACATTAGCTTTGCTAACTGCATCATTGCATGTTTCGACAATAAGATTTAATGTTATTGAATTGATTGTAACATTATGATTTGTAATATTTTTATTTTTATTTTGAATAGATCTTGTTGACATTTTATGGTATTTTATTAAGGTTTTATAAATAAGGTTTTATAAACTTTTACTATTTACTTCCTGAAAAGCTTTTTCTCCCATAAACTTTCTATTTTTGAATGTAAAATTTAATTTTTTTTGTTATTAACATAATTTCGATCAAGTACTATTTTATCCCAAAATTTTATTCCAATATAAGTATCTGTTTATCTGAAAGTAGCTCTATGTAAGATATAGATCTATGTTTATCAACTTCGTTCATTATTTCTAGCAAATTTTGTAATGAAAAGGCATGGAGTTTCACAATTGGCACACATTCCATATTATCTACAAAAAGATTTGAAAATCTTATATTACACATTACTTATACATTATTCATATCATTAAAGTTATCGTAGTATATGTTGAAACAAGAGATAATATGTGTTTTTAAGTCACTTATAATTTTACCACTTTCAGCCTTAGTTTAAGTTGGCTATGTAGTATTGACAATAAACTGAATGTGTATTTGTTTTTATTTTATTCTGTTCATTATTTTTTACTTTCATATAAATACATTGTGCATCATGTGGTCTAATCAGAGCTATAAGATTCCAAGAGTAAACTCTCAATGATATTGAGTCTCTGCTGCTAAATAAAATTATGAAGCAAATAATATGTATCTTTTACTACCTTTAAGTATAAAATTTAGCATATTTTCTTTTAACATCTACTATCATGATGATTTCATCAGATTTATTTCATTGTGGTTTCTTATCTTTTGGTTCTTGAGTATCAGCTATAATTTAAATATAGTAATTTATCATACATATGAATGTTTTAATCTACATGAAAATACATATTTAATTCAGTACAATTCCTTTTTTTTGTAATATCTGTATCAAAATTGTCATTTCATTCAATACTTTTCCTAGCAGTGTTATTGGGAATATACATATAATTCACTGTATTTATAGATGTGGAAGTATTTAATTCTTTATATATATATATAATGTCCAAGTATTTTATTTATCTTTTTCTTTCTGTTTTTCTTGTAAATTCTCAGTTTATTGAGACTTTACTTTTTTATTCTTTTCAAGTTCTAAAAGTAATCTAAACTCGTAATCACATTCATTTATTAATTTTATGATTTTAAATAACTTCTTCTGATTACATTAATAAACAAAAATATTACATAACAAGATAGTATTTCATTTATTAATACATTCAACTACTAAACAAAATTTTTTATTTTTGGTAAATAAATTGTTGAATCATTTATATAAATATACGAGTTCATCGCAACGAGGTTATAATTCATATTGCCTCCAATTTCTTTTAAAACTTTTATATGCTTGTTCGTGAACTAAATTAAATTCTTCATCAGGATTAGGAAATTCATCAATTCAGGAAATTTACAATTACAAATATATAATAATTAGCAATATTGTAATTATTATATATTGATATTTTTTAATTTAATCTTTGCTATACATTCCTGTGCTGTGGAATCTGTTGTATTTTCCCGCGTATTTTTCCGCGGCAATTTTGAATTGTAACACATAAGCAAATAAACAATTACGATTTCACAGTACATAAAGATAAGTGATACCAATACATATTTAACCATATTATTATTATTTTATCATTATATGTTATTATCATTATTATTTTTTGACTCTATGGCTTTCCCTTCATACTTTTTTGCTCTTCTTAATGCTTTTTCTTTGATTTTTGTTAGCTTGCATTCTTCTATCAATATATAATTCGGTGTTGTCATATTTAAACCTAAGATCCATTTCACATATCTTCTTTGTATTCTATCCAGCCTTTCTTCCATGTTTCAGCCCCATACCTCTGTTCCAAACATTTTCATTCTCCTCTTGTAGTCTTGTTTGAAAATTCTTTCTCCCACGCTCCATGTTTTCTTCATTACTATTGTCGCTCTCTTTTTCCTGTTTTGTATGTGTTTCTTATCACTGCCGTTTTTCTGTACTATGTATCCTAGGTATCTTATCTCGTCCACTTCTTCTAATTCTCGCTCTCCCCATTTCCATTTTCTTTTTCTCCTCTTGTTCTCTCTTTTTTCAAAAACTATTATTTTAGTCTTTTCCGTGCTCTGTTCCAATTCGGTTTCTTTTAAAAAATTTTCGAATCTCTTTAGCATTTCCTTTAGCTCCTCCTCTCTTTCCGCCTATAGCATAATATCGTCTGCGTATGGCAATGACCATACCTTCCTTTCTCCTACCACTATGCCCCTCTTTTTCATATAAAAAGATATAGATTAATTTAAACACTATAATAAAAAATTATTTCAACTCAATTTTTACGTAACGCATTTCAAGTATTTGCTGCCGAGTAATGTCGTCGAGTATATGTGTTCTGCATTCAGAATAACGAGTTGTTTCAGAGACAATGCTTTGAATAACAAAGACCATATCTGGTATGTAGAACGAATTTAGCTAGACATCAGAGTAACGTCGGAACCTTTTATAAATTGTAATATACTTTAATTATATTGACATACATTAGAAAAGTGTAGCACTTATATTTAGATATAAAAGTAATTTTATTTTAATATTAAATATTACTTTTCTTAAAAAAAGATATATATATAAATATAGGAAATATCTGATAAAAATTTTTGCGAGATTTGTGATTAGAAATAACATTATTACTATGTAATATCTTCAATACATTGTATGTATATTTTTATTGTTAGCAGATATATTTAACTTTGACAAGTGTATTTTCGGCATCAGGCAAATCACACGTCAGTCTGTGGCGTGGCGTCACGAGAATAGCATCGTGGGGTAAATTCTCGTCTCGTTCAGAAATAATATCTACTTACGTAGTACGTACTGTTAATGTTACGAATCTGTATATGATTACAAATATTTATTCGTAAATATTTTGAGTGTTCCAACATTCAGACTTCAATTAACTTAGGTAATGTAGTTTTGTTAATAATTATGTGTTAACTCTACTTTTAAGGGAGAAATATTAATATTGTTATAAGTTTTGGAGTAAACTTGTGTAAACAAATAATTGAATGAATAAGTGTTACGACAAAGAATTGAGCAATTTGGTTATGAAAGGTTATGAACATCAACTGAAACGTTGTTTCATTCCTTGGAAGCAACCCTTGCGATTAAGACAATCAGCCACTGTGAATCCGGTTTCTTTAAAATTGCGATCAATACTGTTCTGTTTGAGTTCTCCTAAGCGAAGCGAGAGAGCGATTCGATTATGTTTGTGTACATGTATGTATAACTGAAATGTCATGTGCTTCTTCGTAAAGCGAGAATTGAACTGATAATTAATAGTAATACAGACGATAAATATTCATAGTAAATTGACAAATGTTCAAAAATTTGTAGTTTAATGGTAAATTAATAGCGTAGAAATTTTTGAAGCAACTTTATTTATGAATCACAAAATGACATGGTCAAATTTGACGACTAAATATTTACCAATTATTTTGCTACATTAGCCGATTATTTTTGAAGATATTAATTCAACTATTGTACTTCGTCATAGTTAGCGTATTATTTGCTTTCATAAATCCAGCTTTATAAAATACTAAGTTATAGGTATAGTCTATTGTTCATCGTTTTCTTTCCCGTCACTGGGAACTTTTTATTAATCTGCGATAGTTTTGTGTGACGTCGGTTTGTTGGTTTAGATAACAACACATATACTCACGTTTGTCACTGTAATAATGTCCTCGGTGATTTTGTAATTTCTTATTTCTGTGTTATTGTGAAGACGTTTACCCGACACATTCATTAAGCAAAATCTTTTCTTTTGTTACATTTCGTTAAGTCTTATATCTCTCTTTGTTAATTTATTCTTTTCAGATAATATCTTTCGTAATAAATTTCTGTCTTTTGAATGTTAAGATTATACTCTGAATTTAATTATTTATAAGATTTATAACATAGATTTTTCTCTATACCATTAGGTACGACTTATCGCATATGAGTTAGATAACATGAGTTTGAATTACGTAGAATCACATATAGATGAGTTATATCGAGTTTAGTCACTTGTAACGAAAAGCAAGTGTACATTCACTGGAGGAATGAAGTATGCAGACCTCTTTACCAAGACAAACCATCGGCTGCATCGGAAAATGTACTTCTGGACTAAGTATCGATGAATTAGATCAGATTACAGATAATATACATAAAACTCTGACACATCCACGTGGAAGGGAGATTTTTAAAAAATTTTTGGAACAACGTGGTCTCAGGGACAACCTTGAGTGTTTGGCATTGTACGAAACATGTATGCAGATTATCACAGAAGAGACAAACTTTTCGTAAGTTTTCTTGCCAAAAATAATAATAATTGAGTTTTAAGAAATACATATTACTTTTGAAGACTGTCTTTTAAACCATTTTCTTGAGAAAATTACCTTTTAAGCGGTAGCCATTTTTGAAATGTTAGGTTTGGAAAAGAAACGCTTTTACCAGTCGGTAAAACAGTTAACTGACAAGTAAATAATGAATTTCCAGATACTCGAAAAAGGGAACAACACTGGAGTCGTTAATCAAGAAGGTTATGCAAGTGAAAGAAATGGCTGAAGATTTGGACGGTGTATCGCAGATAGACATGGCACTTCTAGAACGTTTCAATGAAACGTTAAATAGCGATTCGAGGACTTCTTTACTCAGCATATTAGCAGATACCAGAGATCGGTGTCGCGATCATTTGAGAAACGTTCATGAAAGTTTCAAACAATATGCATCGGAACCGTGTCCGATAATTAAATAATTAATAAACATATCTTTTTTTTTTTGTATCTTTGTGCCTTTAAAACTTCATTCGTATAGATGCAGGAAGTTATTCTCCATTTTCTTTAAATGTGTAAAAGTTAGCACGTGAAACATGTTTCACGTAACAATCTCTATATGTGATGACGAATGTCGTATATTTTCTGTATACTTTTACTCATTGAATGTTATACTGTGATTATTTAAATTATGTAATTTAATAAAAAAAGAAGCAAAAATGAAAACTCGACGATTTATATTTTTGATAGTTTAAATGTTATCCCGAATATAACAGCAAGTGTAGCAACATTCAAATGCTTCTTCATTCATGTCGGTATTCAATTAATTGATATTTGTTAGATATGTTAATTATGAAATGTATCAAGAACATAAGGAAGATTCTCGTGTGCAAACAATGATTGTAAAAATAAATAATATACGCAGTACCATAAAATCTTTGGAGGAAAGTCTCATGATTACCCGGAGCTTAGAGGCGGAGCGATGGCTACGATACTCAAATTTAAAAGCAAAAAGCAAAATAATGATGGACGATCTCAGAAAAGCAAATAAACGCAATAAAAATATGCTCAGTATGTGGGAATGTTTAAGCCGTGAGGAACAATAACGTTATTGACATTATGTTTGTAGATTTATTTCGACAGAGTGTTACTGACATTCGTCTTGGAAGCGATATTACGTTGCCAGATTCTTTGAAAAAGGAAGTACAAAGATCTTGGCATCAAAAGTAACATTATTTATTATTTACATTATAACACAAATTAATAAACGTTTAAAAAAATTGATGTTAAAATATTTACTAGGTACGATGCTTTATTAACGCGCAACGAGCAATTAAAACGAGAACTTAATTCCCGAAATTTGCTTCTTAAAGAAAAAACGCAGGAGGTACATAGTTTTGTACGTTTTAATATATTTATGTTAATTTTATCGTTAAAATTGATCGATTCTAGATCAGTAGTCTTCAACAAAAATTATTAACACTTGGCGATAGACTCGTTGAACGGAACGAATCCGTGGAAAGTATTTGTAAAAAATACTTGACTTTAAAAAGACGAAAAGATGAACAAGAAATTTTGTTACGTGGTTCTATCGAAACGTTACAGGTTGAAATATTTGAAGAAGCGAACATTAGATAGAAAATATTCAATAAACAGTTTGAGAACTGAAAATAATTATGTATTAGGATACATTGAGGAAATCAAACGACGGGGCTTTTAAAAAAGATTCTGAAATATCCTCGATAGTCAGTAAAGATGCGTTATCAGCTCGAGAAATTCGACGTAGCGATGGGCTAGTTTACGAAAATTCTTTTTTTAAGAGTTCTTCTGCAGAAAGCGAAACGCAGTTACAAAACTAGCGGAAATAGCAACGCTATTCCTTTTGATTAAACCGTTTAGTCGATTTTCCCGAAATTGTAAGCTCTGTTAATTTTTTTCACGAGAGATTTTACGCGCAAACTTTTCAAAGATAAGATCCGTAAAACCATACAGTTGCAGAGTTCGAGCGGGTTAAGAAGAAGATCGTAGGTGGGAACATGAGGGTCACTGTTTAAGAACATCGGAATTATGCAACTCTAAAGGTAATAACCGGATGAAAGAGACACATTAAATTAAGTTAGCGGCGATCGATGACAAGTGCTTCACTATAAAAGCAACAACTTTGTTCAGACTAGTCTTACTTGGTGCTGATCAGCACTGAGAGAACTCAGGGTTATCTGATTGTTATTAGACTTCGTGTAAGTTGATCTTTTTTAAGCGATTAATAAATCTTCGATACTTTAATTTGTTGACCTCTAAATCGTTTTTACAGGTGTAACCTATCAGTGCGATAAAAAATATAACGACAAAACATAGCATCTGAACAAGATTTCGCATTTTCGAAGCAGAAGGATTCAACAAGTGCAAAGTTGATAAAACATCATGACGAAAATATACGAAGCATTCTTCATGCTCTATACCTTTCTTTTCTCTCCGTTAATTATTTTACTATTAATATGCTCGTACTTTTATCGTCGAATCGTAGAGATCGTTCTAAGGATACAATTGAAGGATAAATTCGCTGGTCTTCTTGATGGGGCGGATTGCGTTTGGGCTATAGAACAATCATCGGCACTTTCTGTGAACAACATCCTTATGATCTTAGAAAAAGATGCTCGACATTCGAACGCCAACTTCTTGGAGAGTTTTCGAGATTTGGCAAAAAATCGTATAGTGTGCTCGTATTTCGAGAAGTTATTGTATAAGAGAAAGAGAAAGTTCGGCTACTATTTCTGGGAGAGGAGCGAGGAGATCGATCTGAAAGGACGGATCAGATGGTTGGAATATGAGCGTGGGAACTGCGACGGATCCTGTGACAATATTTATAACGGTCACTTGAAAAGGGTTTTGTCGAATGTTTGCAATCAGCCTCTACCGGAGAATCATACAGCATCCTGGGAGATTTTAATTGGGAAATGTTGTCCCAGGTCGAGTCATCATTATCTTCGACGAATGGAGGAACGTTTGACGAGCAAAATCAAGGTTCCTATTTTGTTCCGCGTCCATCATTCCTTAGGCGATGGTATGGCTCTCCTCAAATTCTTTAGGGACATTATTATCGACAAAGAACCGGTCCCAGAAACGTTCTTGCAGTTGGAGCATACGAGTTTTAGAATGAAGAGCGAGAAAACGAAGAAGTCAAATGCGACAGTACCTGTGACGAATCCTGTGAATCCTTGCTTGAACATCGACAACAGCTTAAACAGCACTACATTTCAAAAGGATGTTATGTCGGCTACCATGCCGTTCATCTATTTAGTGGTGTTTCCACATGTCGTTAAATTATTAAAGAGAAGGTTCAACGAGGGACTAGAGTACCTGCGAAATGTTACTTTGGAAGAATTGAGACAGGAAACGAGACTATTTCTAATGGGAGAACGAGATAAATTAAGTACTTTTTTCTCGGAAATTGTTTGGAAAAAGGTACAGAATTATTTAAAAATGACGAAGATTATCATAGATGCTCCTGGTTGCTTGATTCAACAAGCTTTTCGTAGCATGGACAAAAGGTTTGTTTATCCGTTCACTAACTTTTCTTTCCAAACACCTTAAAAATATTGTAAAATGTTTTATCGTAGCGCACTCCATGGAGCAGAATTATCAGGTGAAAAATTGATCTCTTATTGGCTCGAGGATGATTTCAAGAATGCCTGCAATCAGAGGCTCTTTACAAAGATTCAGAACATAAGAAGCATCACAGGCGCAAGATTTGGAGACGTACTATTAGCTGCTCTGTCCGTTAGTTTACACAAGTACTTTCTTCGGGTAAGTGGTTAGGTATTCTTTACCTGTATTTGAATTTTCTTCGCGAATAGTTACTTCTACGTGAATTTAAATTTTACAGATGAACGAACCGGTTCCAACGAAATTAAGCGTCGTCCTACCGATGAAAATCGAGGAATGGAGCGAGAACCTTCCGTTGCAAAATAATTTCTCAGTTGGCATATTGCCGCTTTGTATTTCGCAGATAAACGGCAAACAGCTTGCGGATCCACGTGAAAATTCTCAACTTTTAGAACGCCTTGATGCTATTAAGAGAGCAAATGATTCGCTCAGAAAGAGTCCCGATTACAAAGTGAATTTTTTGGTGATGAAGTATCTCACAGCTGTGTTGCCTGATAAATTTTTACGACCGATTTTTAGGAGTTACAGCACGATGGTGTTTAGCAATTTAGTTGGCCCTCAGGAAGTAAAATTAATGGGCCATCCTTTGAAAAATATCGTTTTTTGGATACCAAACAGGTTACAAGTTTTTTTATGCCATATACCTTCTGTCCTCTTATATGATGTTTTAGTAAAAAACCCATATCTCAAAGATTGGAAGTACCACAGCTTTCAGAGTTATCGTTTTCAGGAGTTACACGGGGATTGGATGTTCGTTGTTAACTTATCGGGGTTATCTGCACTTATCTTTGATCGCTGACAAAGCTTTGGTGCAAAATGAAAAGGCTCTTACAAGAATCTTGGAGAACACTGTAAATGAAATTGATAATCTTTACGACAGGCTAACTTTATCATTTTTTTCGAAAAAACTTCATAGGAGTATATCAACACCCACAAAGAAAGGTAGGTCAATCGAGAAGTACTTAATAAGAAAGTATTGACATAATTTTTTATACTTTCAGCAATCGGTGTGTTGTAAAATCGTGGAAGACATTTGTATCTCTTATTTTTTTGTATTCATTATTCACATTTTTTCATAAAATTTTATTTTATAATACACCGGCAATGTTTTACCATTGTATTTTATCATATAAAATCGTTGTAAATAATTGACTTTTATGCTGATTGTGAGACTCGATGAATTATGCGTATTCTGATTTGTATTTTTATTATACATAATAAAAAATATATTTTCTTAAACATATACGTAAGTGCTCTATTTTAAATGTTTTCTGAAATATTTTGTAAACACTATATGTAGAGTGAAATATATTATTAATTAATAAGATCATACAATTTTTTAGGTCGTAAAAAATAATGCGTATACAATACATAAAATAAATGGTAACTTCGAAGTTTCATATCTATATCTCTACAAAGATATTTAAAGAAATCATGAAACTTTTCAATTATCGATCTATTGTTCATACCATTTCTTCTTAAATATTATCTTCCCAAAAACGAAGAAGAAAGTCAGCTCTCATCGATTCGTTTTCAAAAATAAATAAGGCCAGAAAACAATGTCAAAAAGGGTATTAAAAAAGGAGAAACTAGTTCGTCGACGATTCGTAATTTTTGGTGGTGCGTGTACTATTGAGCTTGTTTTGATACGATGAGTCAAAATATACTTCGCTTTGTGTTGACCTCTCTTTTCTTTTTTACTGTATTCGCTATTGCAATCAGACGAAATATCCACATCCTCTGAGGTCGTCTCGATGTATTTTCGATATTTCAATGACCTGTTGATAATCACATGTAATTATCGTGACAATCATTATACTCTGAGCTTCAAGTAGATAATTTTAAATATATCATTTTAACCATTTTTTCTTTCTAATTTCTTCCGGGGACGAACTCTTTAAATCGCTGTTATCTTCCTGTTGATTTGTGGAAACTGGATTGTGTTCGCTGCACGATTTGCAAGGGCAGTTCAGTTTCAAACTTCGTAGAATTGTTAAAACGCGAGGGTCATCGATACTACTAATAATAGCCGGGGATTCGTCGGCCGATGTTAATCCACGATCCTCTGCTTCTTCATCTGCCTCTAACGTCGAAGTTTCCTCTTTGTTCCAAACTGTTCTAGATAAAATGAATGTTTTTGAGTCAATTAACATTTTCCCTTTGATATAGATTTTAAAAATTATCGCATGTACTTGTATTCTTTTGTAATTCGTTGAAACGAACCACATCTTGTTTATGAGTACTTTGTTCTTCTTTACTGGATGATCTTTTTTTCATACTTTTTTCCGAGATATCGACGCTTTAAATTCATGTTTAATTATTATAATAAATGTTCATTGATAACAGAATGTAATTATCTTTTATCTTATTTTTTAACTAACTTGTCAGTAGTAGAGTTTGTCGTGGAATATTTCAAGTGAGGAGATTCTTTCGTTTTTACTTTTTTCGTCTATCATACAAGTAATTCATTACTGTTTAATCTCTAGCCAAATTTGATTTTTATCTTTACGTATATTACATTACCGAATGTAGTTCATAAAACGTATGAACTGGAAAAACAGCTATCTTCGCACGAGGAATTTTACTGCCCTTGACTTGAACTGCTGATTTCTTTTTAGCAATTTCATAATCTTCTGACGTCTCGTTTTTCATCTGTTGTGTCATTTGATTATTGTTATCGTTCTCAATCGCCTCTTTCGTATCCTTGTACGAAATGTTTTTAGCGTCCACTACTAAATTTTTCTAAATATAACGAATTTACATGTCACCATAATGAAGTAAAGTGATTTTCTTAATCAAAATAAGTTTTAAAATTAAGTTCAAGAACAAAATTCTGAACGACCGAGGGAGGAAAGAGATGTACAAACCCTCAACGAGTTCGACAAATGTTCAACGTTATTGGTATCATTGTTGGTAATATTCTCTTTTTCGCCGATATAATTTTCTTTCTCAAAGATACTGGAAGAGGCCATCGTTTTTTGATTAATCCTACTGGGTGATCGTGTATGTGTTTTGATGGGTGAGGCGTTCTTTTGGATCAGCGACTTCGTCTTGATTTCCTGAGATCTTTTCTGAAAATTCTTTCTTGATATAATTCGTCCTTTTAAGCGAGTCTTTAGAGCTTTCTTTCTAAGTGGAACTCCACTAACCATCACACCACGACCGATATTCTTATAATCTAGTAAATTCGGTACATCCGGTTGACTGATAGCAGCATCGTAATCGTATGTTATCTGTGGTTTTGCTGTTCGGTTTCTCACGGTGATCCGCGGGCTCCGAAATCGTTTGGTCGTTGGCGTGTCGTGGGTCCCACGTTGCGATCTAGCGCTCATTGTTTTTTCAACATGACTATAATTCCGTCTGAAGTAAATTAACATTTCTTATTATTTATATCATATTATAGGTTGCTAAAAATGCGGAGGTCAAATTTGCATTTACAAATTATTCAAAAAGTGAGTTTTATTTGATATTTTAACATAGAAACTTACATGGAAGCTAATGATTCATTTGTAATAGGTTCTACTTTCTTTCTCGCGTTTTTGCGATGCTTGAGTTTATTCCAGAATCTTAGAATGGCCTTTGTGGATTTGCGCTCGACTTTTTTCAACGACAAACTCTTCTGATCAACAAGATTTACACATTCAGCCTGTTTATCGCTCCATTTCGACTCTATTTCTCGCGTCTGCGATACAAGCGAGGTGGAGTGATTGGATCGACGACGAAAATGTGACTGAAACCGGAAATGTGTTTTCTTGAGATTCGCCAGTATTCTCGATGGTTGAGTTCACATTTTCCGGATATACGTAGAAGTGTGATGGATATTTTTCTGTTATGTGGTTTGGCGTTTGTGGTTAAACAAAAGAGTTTTGCATAATATTTCAATGCTAACTCGTTGATCGCTAAGGTATATGATAAAATTTCGCAATAAAGTAAATTTTAAAAGTACCTTAAATACTCCTTTCTCTTTTATTTCTAATTGCTATGAAAATTATATTAAATAAGAAAGCATTTTCAATATTTTTTTACAATATAAGTTACATATATGTATTTTATACCATTATTCCATTACAATAAAAGAGGACTTTACATGGAGAACAATATTAAGTTTGCTGACTAATAAATATTGCTCCAAATTTGTTATCTTAACATCGGTCTATGCAAAAGAATGCGAAAAACGAGTCTTGAAATCTTTTCGTAAGATAAAAACATTAATGCCGCTGTGAGAATGGTTTGCAATAATTTCGCTTCCATTCCTTTGTATAGTCCTCCTATTCCTTGTTTCCTGAAAATAAGAAGTCGCATTAAATACAATTACACTTGTGTCATTTTATAAAAATATTACTTACTTTAATATATAAAATAGGATTTCTAAGCTCCCAGCGTTTGGTGGCAGGTTTGGATACTTATGACCATGCTAAAAGTTAAAATCATGCTGTATGTACAGTCTTTATGAAAGCTAAGAAAATAATTAAAATAATGTAAATACGTACTCTCAGTTTGGTTTGAACTAATTGCAATGGATAAGTTAGTATGGTTGCAACCGCTTTGGCTATAGCACCAATAACAAAGAATGTCCATGCAGGTGGTACACCATGTAGAGATGCGAGAACTTTCCTTTTAATAGTTTCATAAGTCATAAACTGAATGGCTGGATTCATAACTAGCATCAAGCTCGGCACAGTCCCAGCCCAAAGCTTTTTTAAACCTTCGTATTTCCATATATATATAAGACCATCTAAACAGGTAATGTGCCATAGAAATGTATTAATTTAACAACAATTCATTTCTAGTATTTGCAGTCATTTTCTAGATGCATCATTAAGCGTACTATTTACATAGATATAGACTATATCTTTATAAAAATTAAACAGTATTTATTGTACACGTGTCAGAAATTGAACTTCATTCAACATTTATTGATACCAATTTATTAATTCTGGTGTCGCAAAAACGTACCATATAAGGTATTGTAAAGGTTATTTCTTTCCTGAGTGTTATCGATGCCTCTCATTTTCAGTCTAGTATTTACTACCCACAGTGGTGTCGTTGTTAAAACATTAATTACACCTAGAACAACGATTTTTAAGCAAAAACTCTTCAAGTGATTTTTGTTAAATACCATACCTGCAATTGATGCAACCAGTAGATCATTTCCAGCTGATTGATTCTTGCTTGCTCTGAGCATTTTCAAGCCGTGGAATGTGTAGAAATAAACGAAGTTGCTAACACATAGACTTTGAAGAACCGGTACCATTCCCCTGTACAAGGTGGCTCTAGGATGTTACCATAAATGAGACGAAATTTTTATTTCAATAATTATGACTCATTAAACGTATTACAAAACAAAAAAACTTACGGTCCTTCCTTTGCGGCGAGATCACGGATTGTAGCAAGTGTACTTTTCGATTCTCGGTCTTCTTCCACTGCAAGAAAAACTAACTTTGATAATAATATGTAAATATATGTATGTAAATATCTATTTTATTTCTAGGTTTACGTTCAGCCTGATCGATGTACCGCGTTTCTCACACGATACTGTACATTAGAAGATTAACTACAAGGTTATTCATGACAGTTTGAGATTAATTGTGTAAGTGTTATATTAATCTATTAATTAATTTGAATTCTTTCATGAAGATTTAATGCATTCATTTATGTTACTTCATTTTACTTAATGCATTTTTTGCGCAATATACACAGTCAGTGGTGCGAAAATTAATCTAATTTTTTATGTCACAAACACTTATATCTATTCTAAATCTGTTGTTTTCAAATTTATCGATTGTTTGAAATACATTTAGTCAATGTACACAAACGTACTACTATGACCTTTACAAAGTATGTGATTTTTATTTATTTATGTGATTTATTAACGATTATTATAAGTAGGTCAAATATATAATTTTTTAATATACCTACATTGTAATCTGCTTCGTACTGTATCTAAAGGAAAGAATATTGTCATTGCAACAACGCCGCCCTGTAAAGTATCATAGCCAAAAAGTTAATTTACATACCACTAAAGATTTAACAACTTTTCAAAATTCATTGATGTATACTTACAGCAGCGCCGGATATCGCGTGAACCAACGTTTCATAACTGAAAATGCTTCTGTTGCGTTCTCCGCCACTCATCTTTACAAATCATTCGCTTTCGTAAATTTATTTATTAGGATGAAATTTATCGAGTTACATTAAGTATTCCTTACTGAATCGTGTTATGTTATAACATCAATGATTACTCTGTAAACATATACATATTTGTAAATTTCAATTTCAAAATCAACTAAAATAAAAATATAATTATCATTTTTATACGAAAGACATCGCGATAAGCAGCTCGATTTTAGATTTGAATTATTCATGATATTTATAAATCGAATGATCAATCGAGTCAATCGAAACAATCGATTAAATGATATAATCGATTAATCTACGTATTTCTACGTATCGATATAAGTTACGAATTTGCTTCATAATTCTAACTCGGTTTGAAATAATGTTGTAATGTTTGTAATATATATAATAATTTGTTGAAACTTCGCAATTATCTACAGCGCAATTATCACGGTCGCGTCGGTAAGTAGAATTTAAATCGTGAATTAATCACAAATTCAATTACAAATACAAAAACAGTAATCGTATAATCAACACTTTTTACGTTCATAGAGTTGAATAATTTTCACGAGTGATGGGTTGTCGAGAAACTACGTCTTTGTTCTCCGAGCGACATGTTGGCACTGGTGAGAAAACATTTCGGATAAATGATCATTACTATAAGTAACTATGTAAATGAAAGATGCACGTGCCGATTCTGTAAAATCGCTACTCTGAAATGACCACCGTATACTATACATGTATGTATAGATATGTCAGTAAGTAAGTACGTGTGCTTGCCTTTCTATATGTGTTCCCTTTACCATGGACGATTCAACATCCCAATCATGAACACGACGAACGTCGCGACACGATCCGATCTGCGGCTTAAAAGCTAAGTTCGATGTAAGATCTCTAGTCGTTTCATCGTCAACTAGATGTTCCCGATAAAATTACTTTGGCCATGATGGACTGTTCCCCTGTGGATAATACGCTTGCGCTTTAGGTTACATCGATGGTTCGAGAGGTCGATTATGTATCGTACGTTGTAAGCATGCGCGGTTATGAATTTCATATCTGAATATTTTTTGGTTTAAATTTACGGTTATTAACTTCATTAAGATTTTATAGGTTATGTACAGGTACATTTCGATTACAATGCATAATATATTTTTTTTTTATTTAATTCGGATATTGAAAACGTGAATGTAAATTATGCATTTAAGGATAAATATTTTTGTCTTCAATCAATAGACATTGTTTATAAAAAATAATCTAATCTTATTAACCTATATATGTAATTGGTACGAAAAAATGAAAGATAAATGACATTGTAAATATCTCGAATCTTTTATTGACATTGCAAGGCACTTAGTAGCCGCAATAAATTTTAATTATGATGCTTTGCTATCTAACATAATTATTTTAATATGCATCGGAATGATATTAAAACGCGTTTTTAAAAATACATACCGAGAAGTAGTGAAATGCATGTCATAAGATCTTATGAATATGTTACGAATAAACAAAAGCTGAATTTATGACAAAAAAAAATTTATGACAAAGAAAGTACACTTTTGCAAGAAAAATGAAAAATAGGGATACAAAAAGGAGACAATTGACGATTATAAATAGCCAACAAGAATTTTTCGTCTTCTTCAACTAATGTAGCAAGAGAAAGATAATTCATTCGAATCCTTGACGCATTATTGTTGCGGAGGAACAGGGAATTTCAGATGGCGGTCATTCGTCGTGCGAAATTTCGCAGCTTGCTCGTGGTTATCGCTGGCGCACCTCAGGATATCTCCTATTTATTTCTCCACCGGGAGTTCCCATGCTGGCTGTTCGTTAGAGCCACCGACTGTTCTCGAATTTTCTTTCCTGTTAGAATGAAATCCTTCTTTTCTGTTTCACCACTGAACGCATTGCACAATTCCCATGAGCGTTCGCCCTGCGATCGCATGAAAAGTGATTTCTATCTCGTTCCTTTCCGTTGCGTTTCTCCAGCGAATAGGAAATACTTCGCAGATTGCTTACACTCCACACAAACATCGCAAAAGACAACTTGAGATAGTCGTTGTTCACGTTCCTTCAAGGAGAAGAAATACACATGTAATATGTATAAAACGAAGAGACGTATGAATACATTGTCTTTGAGGGAAAAGGAATATTTTTCGCTTGGTCTTTATTTATTTAAAATCTTTCTATATAGGGACGATGCTTTGAAATTTGAAATTTAAAATTTTAATTTCTAAATCTGTAGGATTATTAGAAATAATTGGCTTATTTTTTGATCGAAGATCACTTGATCATCTATTAAGATAAGTTTAAATATCCTGCAACCTTTGTTGCTGGACTAGTTGATCATAGTTGGTAATAATATTACTCTCCGCATACGACTCTTGGATAATACAGTTTCATTTGTCGATCCCGTTAATTTCTTAGCATTTTGTGAATGATAAATCGTCTGTGTTTAATGAAAAACGGCATCGACATCGAATAACTGGACGCCACAAGTGTTTGGAGTTTAACGAGGATGCAGATACAACAGGTTATAAATATGAACACGCATCTTTTCACCGAAGTGGTAGATCTTTAATTAAAACTGCTGGAAAAGCTGTTGTACCTATAGTAGTACAGTCGATATTACTTTTCTGACGATAAAGGAGACACATCGCATGATGCACGAGCTTTGTGATGCCTCGTCCGAAATTCTCTGAGTTCTTGACAGAGTTTAATTAAACATTCCGCGCGTCTGGAATTTTGTGGTCACCACGTTCTCTCTGTAGTGAAACTCCTTTTAATGGGTTCTGCCGCTTGAATCTCGATACGTAAGCCGACCTCGTGTCGTGTCGACACGACTCTCCTTCGATTTCTTTATGCTTGACCATCCAATATCCAATTAAATTGTAACGAACAAAATTGTTGGCTTTAGATAAGAAGCGATACTTGAAGATAAGACACCGCTTATTGAGAAGAAATTTGTTGCTTGAATTTTAGGAATGTAGTTTCGTAACAACACTTTTGTTAGTTTGTTTTTCTTCTCTAGAAACTTTCAAATCAGAACGATATTAATAAATGTAACTTTCTTCGTTGATAATTGCGATAAAATTTCGATGAACCTCTCGAAGAACGCATAGATATTACATGGATTCAATCAATCGGACTGCAACTTGGCCTCGCATATTTTTCCATACATCTTTACTTTGAATGCACCATTGAAATGGAATTACCAGAAAAAATTCATTTGATGTCATCAGGTGAGCTCTCATAAATGTGTAACGTAGGGAAGGTTAATTAGTAAGCAGTACTTTGAATGCATTAAGCCGGTAAGAGAAGAGGTCTCCGTTTCGAACGAAGTACAGCTTTCATTGCCGTAAGTCAGGCTCTAACACCGATTAAGTCGGTTAAATCAGGTCCGTTAAAGTGGATTAAAATGTTGTCCTTGGAGAGTGACGCTTATGAGTAATAATTCCTTTATTCGACTGTAATTGCGAACCAGAGATTTAATTTATACTCGAAGGTTGCGTTACGTGTACTTTGGAATGGTCTGACTGTTCGACGATCATTAAAAATAATCTTTCATTGGGAAAAAAAAGATAAAAGAAGTGTGACTGAAGGCTCGATTTGAATAAATTTCAGTCGTGACATTTTGCCCGTCTGAAATATCACGATAAAAACGACGGATGAATAACCGTTTGAATTTAAATCAACTAGCGATCGACGAGTTGAAACGACGAATGATGTAAGTGTCGCAACAAATAGTCTTCTTTTTCAAACGAAAAGTTGTGTTCGTATTAGTTTTGGAATTTATATAAATTCGAAGTAAAACTTTGAAGATGTAGAAAATTCTCCTCTAGGAAATAATATATCTTCGTAGCATTTAATAAGAAATAATGTCGTAACTTGCGACATTGAACCATCTGTAATTCGAAGTTCGTACTGTAAAAACGACCAGAATGGAAGCACTGCGGTCGGAAAATTAATTAACGTATTAATCGAGTAATTGGCCTGAGTCTAGGGTTCGCGGTAGATCTACGGAAAGCTTTCTTTTATAGGGTTAATTAATTCGCCAAGAGCTTCGAACAAAATGTCTTTCCATTGGGTTGTCGGGGCGTTGTTTCAAAAATGATGGTCGTGCGACCGCGTAAATGGAAAAACCGACGAGTCTTCTCGAGAGAGGCCGCGTGGCTTCTCGAATACATACTTGCAAGGTTGACAACTCGGAACTGGCACTGGTAATTATGTATGTTTTTTCCTGCTTTCGCTGTCGAACTCCTCCATTCGAGGAATTCTTGTTCTTTAATTCCTAGTTGGTTAAGTTAACTCTTTAACGAACTGAATACCGCCAGGTATTTGTTTCTTTTGATTGCAAAAATGGGATGTGATTAATTATTTAATTAACTGGGACGAAGAAGCACGAGCGTAAAAGGATGTGAGATTTAAGAAAGAAAAGAACGTGTCGATATTGTTTACGTGTTTATTACAAGAGAACGAAACGTTTTTTTGGTCCGAAAATTAGGGGTGAGTTTTACGAAAAGATGCGTCTCTCTTACATATTTTGTTTCTATGCGCTTTGATTATTACGGTTACAATCTTTCAATGTCGAGCAATCACGCGTGTGCGCCGTGTTGCTGTGTCGTCGAATGTTAAACAGCTTCGAAAGCGTATCGAATTTTAATCATTTCCTTCGCTCTTTCTTTCCTCCGTTAAGAAAATTTTGCTTTAGTTTTACTACTGAAAACTTCTAAATTGAATCTCGGCTCAATGTAACTGGACGAAGATAAATGTCGGCAATTGTTCAAATTCGAACGATATTCAAAATGATTCGAAAGTTTGCTATGATTGATCAACGCATCCAATGCTCGTATATGTTCGGTACAATAGTGTGCCATTTCGTTTCATACGAATAAATTAACTATATACACGTATACGGTATTTGGTTCGTGTCGGCTTAACAATCATGCTTAAATAGAATCCAAGTGTCACGATCAGTCGACCATTTCAACAAACTACGAAGGATACATCGATCTTGGGTTTGAAATTCTCGCTATACGATCTTTCATTGGCGATCGTTCGTCTCGATCTACCAACCAAGAATTGTTTAATTCGTTAAGTTCGTCGGTGCGAAGGCTCGATAGGTAAAAGAAGATTTAATTGCTTTGATTAGGAATGTAAATGGTCGACTGTTCCGATAGCGCACCAAAAGATCCAGAGTTATCACGGGAAGGGTCTCCCTTTCGTTTCATCCACGATTACGCCGAACTCTTTCGTTTCCTGATCGACGCCGGTCGATCGATCCAACGATCGGTCCTCAGCGATCGTATCTTATTTTAGTAATATACGTTATTCCCGGAACGCTATGCTAGAGCTATTTCTTTAATTAATTAAGGCGAGCAGCGTGGTCGGTTTAAACGTTTTCTTCGTTTCGACGATTCTCGCTTACGACTCTTCGTCCATGCCAACTTTGTTACGCGCGATACACCACGGCAGACGCAATAAAAACGCAATGTTTGCTCGCGTTTTCTGGCCGTTCTTTCGAAGGAACGTTAATTTGCCATTGTATAATTTTCCTTGTCCCCCATTCTCCATGGAATCAACAAACATCGTTTAAACGTTTCTTTGTCAAACGAGTGTTAAAAGTGGAACGAACAATTCCTTCTACTCGATATATTATAACGACCGCGTCGTTCGAGAGAATCGTGTTCGTTGGCGAGGATCGTCCTTCGAATTCCAGACCCATCGTTTCGAATTCAGTTTCGGGAGGATCTCCGAGAGATATCACTGAATGGAACACGTCTTTCTGGCGTCGGAGGTACGCAGGGTTATCCTCGATCCCGGCGCGTTGTTCTCATTCCCGGCTGCAAGGGAGCACGTTTTCGTTCTCATGATCATTAGATCCGTTCTGATGCTTGGCCGACGCACATTGGGCGCCACGACGCCGCAGGCGTCGCTCAGCCGTCGCTTTATACTCAGGGTGGCTTTATGCCTTGGCTGAAAACAAATTGTCGCTCTTTCAAAAGCTTTTG